CAATGATTTCACGGCTAGCTGGGAATTTGAACTGAGATATCGCAGGTCCCAGTACAATCATCTAGGCACTGCACCACACTGCCTAACAGTGATTGTGCCTAACAGGGTGGCGCAGTTACTACCAGTAACTATAGCTCAGTCCCATAAATATCTACTGAAAAGTAACTCCCACTGAGATCTATAGACCTTTAGTCTCTAGAAAGCAAGCAACTATACCATGTTTTTCCAAACATGGTGCTGCCTCCCTCCTAGATTCTTCTCCTCTGCACCTGCCATTCCCTGGCTTGGTGTAATATTCTGTCTGATGAAGAATTCTAGAGAACACAAAAGCTTGCTATTTGTGATATTTGTTCAGCTGTTTCTAATAAAGGCTTTGCTTTACTGTGAATTACGAAAACTTCTCTGTTTCCTTCTTTAAACTACCTGAAGTCAACTCTGGAGATGCAACTTACTATTGTGAAGGCAACCACAACATTTAAGGACACTTAAGTGACTTGAGCCCTGACAAACATGCCCATCTATCCATCCCTAAAGCACCAATACACATCCTCACTTTACATCCCATAATTTAGTTCCTTTAAACAAGGGGCTCTTTCTCCTTCATGGTAGGAGGCAAATGGATCTGACAGACACCCAGCAGGGTTTCAAGTGCAACACAACTGCCAAAAATTTACTGGAACAATACAGCTGAAGATTCCCCCCTTTTTAAAAACTTTTTTAAAAAGCAGCACTAAGAATGTCAAGAAAAGAGAATTATAGATTTACTTGAAGCAGAATAGGAACAATATAATACTGCCATTCACTACATTTGTGGTGGTATACACAGAGAACCCAAAGACTGTCATGTAACATGTTATGTTTGCACCGGAGGGGGAGAGGGGAAGCTGAGTGATAATCATTTGGCTTCCCTCTCTCTTTATCCACCTGCAGAGATTTTCCCAGAGGAACTCTTTGGATTAGAGGTTATGCTTTGGATATTTTTGGGCTCCTATTTTTAAAAAAAGAAAACCTGTGCTTCATCACAGAGCCTCAGAGCGGGGGAGTGCTACTGAAAAGCAAAGCCTGTTGTTATGCAAGCAGATATGAATCTATACCCAATGATCAAGGAAGGTTTTGAAACTGTTTTGACAGTCTCGAGCGCAGCTCCAGTGTTGCTCAGATCTGCCAGCACAGACAAGGGCCACAATCCAACACAGCGAGCGGTGTAGGGGAGCCAGGGCTCTGGGCTGAAGCCCTGGGAACTTGCAAGCAGAAGGGGCTGAGACATCATCTGTTACTCCTTGACCCCACAATTTCCCTCTTGAGTTTAGCAGTAATTCTTTTAGTAAATGAGAGGAAAATGGATTTTCCAGGGAACAGTGTACTGTTGCAACCTCTCCATGTTCAGAAGCAAAATATTTCAAAGGCGGTTTGGATGAACAAGCAATTTAGAGCCAATACTTTTTTAAAAATACAATTTCCTCAACTGTACATACACCCCAACCTTATGGCTTGATATATGGACTCTCCTAAGGTTGCTATGGGGTAAGATGGCCATGGAGGCTCTCACAATGAACACCTGCATTTCCCAGTTTATGACTATCGCCCTGAGAGTTAGGTGCACTAAAAACACATTGAATAAGGGTATTATAAGTATGGATGCTACATAATTTTGAAACAAAGTTCCCTGTTTAAAAAAATCCTTTTTCACCTTCATATTATCTACACAGCAACTATTCACTTCAGAATAAAACTGAATCCTAGCTGCAGCATACAAGGTTTATATTATGTGCCAACATATCAATTGTGGGTTGTGGAGCTGAAATACAGAACAAATGAAAACCTGTATTTAGGAGTTAGATCCAAAAGGCAGCCTTAGAAATAACACACCATGCCAAGTAATTTTCAGAAAATGACCTCAAAATTACTCCCGATAGCAACTAATATTGAATATATTTACATAACTTTACATGACAGTTATATGACAACTTACAATACTGTTGCTCTTACAGAGTTTCAGAGCTTCAGTTGTTTGGCATAAATGATCACCGACAACAGGCAAAATTAAATTGCACCACCTGAAAAAATTCACGGAATGCTGCATATTGGGCTTAGCAATCTTTGACGTAATGAAGGGTGCACTATCTTAACTTCAAACTCATGAGATGAGTCCATCTCTGCTGGTTCTTGCGGCATCTACATATATGGTGCAATTATACATTCTACCCCTAAACATGTTTACATGGTCACACATCCTCCAGAGTTCAAGCAGTGCTTACCTCTAAATGAAGACTAATTGTATTTTGCTTTCTTGCACATACTTATCCAATTAATAATACTGTA